TGGGCATGGTGGCACGTGCCTGTAATCCCAGCTACTCAGGAGGCTGAGGCAGGAGAATTGCCTGAACCCAGGAGGCGGAGGTTGCGGTGAGCCGAGATCGCGCCATTGCACTCCTGCCTGGGTAACAAGAGCAAAACTCCGTCTCGGGGGGGAAAAATATATAAATAAATAAAATAAGCTACATGTGGGCAGGGATTCAAGAGTGCTTGGCACACAGTTGGTCCTCACTAAATAAATGCCAAACAATGAGTAAATGAACGAATGAAATTTTTTAAGTCTTTAGAATTGTGTCTGCCATACAGCAATGGCTCAGTAATAAGCTATTATTACTATTATTTTCAAGGGGCTGATGTGATTAACAGGGAACTCACATACACTTGGTTTCTTATTTTCTGCTAGTTCAGTAAAGGGCCAAGACAGGATATACGGAACCTACTTGCTAATACTTCCTTGTTGGCAGCACTCCCCTCTACTTCAGATGGTTCTGTAGCAACAGTGTCTTGACTGGGCTCCTTAACTCTCTCATCAGTGAGAAGGCTGACTGCCTGAGTAATGTCACCATTACTGGCCTAAGGGAGAAAGAGAAAAGAAAATTTCAAAAGTAATCATCATAGAATTTAAAACTAGTTTTGAGTATTAACTCTGTACTACCCTGGTGACACACTGAGTACTTTTAGGCAGAATTCTAGGGTAGAATTATGAGACTATGGTGGACAGTAGGTCTAATGTGCTCAAAGCATCTAATCTATCAAACACCTCATTACAGGAGGGAGCTTCCATGCTCTGACTTCCCACAACACCCAAACAAAAACGAAATCTCAATGGAGAGTTGTTCTCATTGCTTTGGATACTACTATTCATGATTTGTCTGAACAGTTTAAGGCACAATGTGTCAAAAAGGGGGTTGGCAATTAACATAGACATTCTAAATGAAGTCAGCCCTACAATAAAAACGCCAAGCAGGCCAGGCACTCATGCCTGTAATCCCAGCACATTGGAAGGCCAAGGCGGGCAGACTGCTTGAGTCCAGGAATTGGGAACCAGCCTGAGCAACTTGGCAAAACCCCGTCCCTACTAAAAATACAAAAACTAGCCAGGTGTGAGTCCCAGCTGCTAGTGAGGCTGAGGTGGGAGGACTGCTTGAGCCCAGGAGGCAGAGGCTACAGTGAGCTGAGATCACGCCACTGCACTGCAGGCTGAGCAACCGAGTGAGACCCTGTCTCCTATCTCAAACACACACACACACACACACACACACACACACAAAAACCACCACCAACAACAAAAAGGCAAGCAGTTACCTATTTGTAGTGGTGATCATACTTGTTTTTATCTTTTTACAAGGACACAGTTCTTACATATATACCAGGATAGGGAATAACAGAAACCCATGTACACAACACTTGGCTTCAATAATTAACTAGTCACCTAGTCATAACCTCATTTTTTCTAAACCTCCTATACTCTGTCAGATATTTTGAAGCAAATCCTAAGCATCTTACCATATCATTCGTCAACATTTCAGAATGTATCTTTTAAAAATATAACCCAAGGCCAGGTGCAGTGGCTTGCACCTACAATCCCAGCACTTTGGGAGGCCAGGACGGGTGGATCACTTCAGGTCAGGTGTTCAAGACTAGCCTGGCCAATGTGGTGAAACCCCATCCCTACTAAAAATATGAAAATTAGCCGGGTGTGGTGATGCAAGCCTGTAATCCCAGCTACTGGAGAGGCTGACTGAGGTGGAAGAATCGCTTGAATGCCGTAGGCAGAGGCTGCAGTGCGCCAAGATTGTGCCACTGCACTCCAGCCTGGACAACAGAGCGAGACTCCATCTAAAAAAAATTAAAAATAAAAAAAAGTATATATATACACACACTCTTAAGTGAATATATATATATAAAATACAAAGTATACATATAAGACAAAGTGTATATATATATATATATACACACACACACACATTCTTAAGTCAGAAACATTCTGAAATGCCAAATCTATATCTATCCATATCTATATATATGCTATGATGCTATTATCACACCTTAAGAGTAACAACAGTTTTTTTAATATCAGATAAGCAGTTCGAACTTCCCTGACTCAAAATATTATTTAGTTTGCTGATTGGGATCAGGAACCATAAAGCCTATACAGTGCAACTGGTTGACATTTCTCAAATCTCTTTTACCCTGCAGGGTAGCCCCAACTGCAAATCTCCTCCAGCCCCTTAAAATTTACACGTTGAAGATATTGGGTCAGTAATTTAACCTGTAGAGCTTCTGTCCCTATATGTGCTTTAATTTTGGCATAGAAATAGCTTAAACTGCTGTAACTATAATATAAACAGCTGCTTTTAAACCTCCTAACTAACAAAGATCTGGAAACCAACCTTCAGAGCTTCATGGAGAAAGGAAGGGTCCTGAATGCCTGTGATTTCTCTCAGTTGATTTAACAGCATTTGGCAGCTCTATATTTGCAAAATAAACAAAAAAACCAAACATGTCAGTCAAAAAGTAAACCTGGGTACATTTAAAGAGTAAGTAAAAGAAAGCATCTTGGATAAACAGGCCTGAGGCCTTGCCTTTTTTTTTTTTTGAGACACAGTCTTGCTCTGTCACCCAGCCTAGAGTGCAGTGGTGCTATCTCAGCTCACTGCAAGCTCCACCTCGCGGGTTCACGCAATTCTCCTGCCTCAGCCTCCCGAGTAGCTGGGATTACAGGCAGGTGCCACCACGCCCACCTAATTTTTGTAGAGATGGGATTTCACCTTGTTGTTCAGGCCGATTTTGATCTCCTGACCACGAGATTCACCTGCCTCAGCCTCCCAAAGCACTGGGAATACAGGCGTGACCCACTGCACCTTGCTCTGCATTTTTTTTTTACTCTTAAGAACGAACAAGCTCCAAGTAACAAGGTATTGACTATCAGACACATTCTAAAATGCCAAATCTATTTCTCTTTGAAAAGTTCAAAAAGTTCAATAATTTATAAATACCTTTCGTACTTATGAAAGAAATAAGAGATGACAGTAAAACTACAAATATATAAAACATTTAAATGTAATAGTCTAGCCTTAATGAACACTTAAAGTGCCCCAGGTTTTTCTTTCAGTAGGCAATGCATTAAGTGGGTCATATAAGGAGACCAGGGAATTTGTATGGACATGAAGATGTGCTATTTTAAGCTTTCCTGCACATGCCATTAGTGTGTATCATTTTTCACTGACAGTAAGTTTCCAATCATGTAATTAACCAATGATAACATCAACATATTTAAAATTTGGGTTTATTTAAAAAGAAGTACAGCTAAGGCTAGAATTTTCTCAATTATTAAATAATTCCAAAGGGTATAAAGTATGAAATGTTTTCTCTTCATTAATCTAAATAATGAAAAAACCTAAATTGTTAACTTCCAGCTAATACAAAATCAGTTTAGAACCCCTTCAGCCTTAACATCTTCACCCTATCATTTTATACTGCTTTGCACAAAGACAAAATACAAAACACCGATTTGCAAGTACAGCTCAATCTAAACAACTGGCTGGCCCAACTTGAGACACAATGATCTTTATAGATGAATGTTGAAAACAAAGTAGTTTGAAATTAATTCAGCAACAAGAAATCTAATTTATACCATTCCTAAGATTATGCTTAAATTAAGTTAGTAATATGTCTCAGAGAGATAGTCTACATTTTCTCCCAGCTGTAAGAGAAACAGTATCTTATGTTCTTCAACAGCTGAGAGCCCAATGCAACACTAAAGTATCACACAACTAGAAATAACTAACTGAAACATCTCTCTAAAGTCCTCGAAGAAGCAACAACAGTCATTCTGCTGTAGTCACAGGCTATAGTCATAGGCTAGAAATGGAACCCAACCCTGCTGAGACCAGCAGACTTTCAGGTTATGAGTCTTGTCAAATCCAGTCACTGCCTGTGCACTGGGAGAGTTGATTATCAAACTAAAAGGTATCCAGATTCAGCCTTGGCAAAAACTAAAATCACAAGCATGTAATTTTTAGAAAAATTAAATATTAATTTTTTCCAAACTAATTCTAATTCCTATTTTACTGTACCACAGTGGTATGAATCTATGTATCTCATATAAATCACACATAATTTTCTAAAAGATCAACATCAATATGCCCAAAAAAAGGGTGGAATAATTGAGAGGGGGAATGAGTAGCATATTAATACCAAACTAGCGTCAAGAAGGTAACAATGGGATAACCACATCTTCATTGGTAATTACTCTGTGTAACGATTAGTATTTATGATTCACAGAAAATAATCCCAATAAAAAGTAATAGCCAACATACACTGCTTACTTTTAGCCAGGTGCTACTATAAACACTTAGCATGTAGCCGGGCACAGTGACTCACGCCTGTAATCTCAGCACTTTGGGAGGCTGAGGTGAGTGGATCACCTGAGGTCAGGAGTTCGAGACCAGCCTGACCAACATGGAGAAACCCCGTCTCCACTAAAAATTCTAAATTAGCCGGGTATGGTGGCACATGCCTGTAATCCCAGCTACTCAAGAGGCTTAAGCAGGAGAATCACTTGAACCCAGGAGGCGGAGGTTGCTGTGAGCCAAGATCGTGCCACTGCACTCCAGCCTGGGCAACAAGAGCAAAACTCTGTCTCAAAAAAAAAAAACACTTAGCATGTATTAACTAATTTAACTCATTCAACCCTCGTAACAGACCTGTGACATAGGTATCATGCCCATCCTACAGAGCCTGAGGCACAGAAAAGTTAAGTAATTTTACACAAAGCTACTGCTAACAAAGGATGCACTATATCACGCTGTATCTCCGAAGACAAAAAAAAAAAAAAGGCAAGAATATCTAATGCAAAAAAATGCAAATAGTTTATTCTTGTATTTTTACATTGTTTTTAATTAATTAATTTATTTCTCACTCTGTCGCCCAGGCTGGAGTGCAGTGACATGATGTCAGCTCACTGCAACCTCTGCCTCCCAGGTTCAAGTGATCCTCCTGCCTCAGCCTCCCAAATAGCTGGGACTATATGCACCTGCCACTATGCCCAGCTAATTTTTGCATTTTTAGTAAAGACAGGGTTTCACCATGCTGGCCATGCTGATCTCAAACGCCTGACCTCAAGTGATCCACCTGCCTCAGCCTCCCAAAGCACTAGGATTATATGTGTGAGCCACCACGCCCAGCCTATTCTTATATTTTGATCTTGATCTTTGCACCTTAACAAATTTCTTTATTTAAAAATTTTGCCTGTCTTTATACAATCACAAGTTTGATAACTTAGTAGTGCAATGTGTTCTAAACCAGCTATCATATCATCAGAAGCAGAGAGGTAAATATTAAATTTGACTAAATCTAAGGTGGCATCAGTTACAAAGAAAGGAAAACTGCTGCCACTTAAACTATGACACAATATCTTAATGGCAGTCCTAGGAGATATATAAATCAGTCACACTAGCTTCTTAAAGCTCTGGACTTTTTCATTTATGTTGAGGAATACAGCAATTTCCCCTGCTTCCAGGTGCACTGTCTGGCATATTATGGTCAATTCTTTCACATGTTTCTCAGTAACAAAACTTAACACAGCTTAATACATCTATGGGTATCTTTCCTTCTGGGTTGCATAAAGCGCTTGAGTATAGTTTTGCAAAAAAAATCTGAAACTGCAAACATTCCTCCTCCAAAGGAAAATATTTGGCTTCATATAAAATCAAGTTTATACCCTGCCATTCTGCTTCCATGCCTTTCTTCATACACAGCTGTTTTGGTTGTTTTGTTTTTTGTTTTCATTTCAATGTTGAATCATGGTGTAAATTTTTAAGTGACATGTGAAATGGCAAGTAAACCATGTGGTACTAACCGTACATATAATTTGACTGTCAACTGTTGTTATGACAATAGTAACAGCTATGACCAAGTCCATATAAGTGCAGACAATGACAACATCACAACTGCTACTGGGATGACAGTAAATGTTAAGAACATCTTGATCTCAGAGATCTTAGAATGCCAAATAATATGTATCGATAAAATATGTATTCAAATACTAATTTACTATTTATACTTGGCCTAGGGTTAAAGTCGGTTACACTGTAATATTCACACTCTTCGTTCTCCATTTTGTAATAGGTAGCAGTGAACATTAATATATATCTGGGATAGGCCAGATGTGGTAGCTCACGCCTGTAATCCCAGCACTTTGGGAGGCCAAGGCTGGTGGATCCCCTGAGGCCAGGAGTTCAACACCAGCTTGGCCAACATGGTGAAACCCCATATCCACTAAAAATACAAACAATTAGCCGGGTGTGGTGGCGCATTCCTGTAATCCCAGCTACTAGGGAGACTGAAGTTGCAGTGAGCCAAGATCGAGCCACTGCCTTCCAGCCTGGGTGACAGAGCAAGACTCCATCTCAAAAAATATATATTTAATGTATATAAATAAAATATATAAATATATATTTTATATATTTTAATTATATGTAAATATATATTTTATGTATTTAATTATATAAATTAAACATTTATATATATTTATACATTATATATATCTCTCTCTCTCTGAGATAACACAATTAGGAAATGAAAATAAACTCTTTGGTTTCCTTTTTTTTTTTGAGACAGGGTCTCGCTCTGTGGCCCAAACTGAAGTGCAGTGGCATGGTATGATCTTAGCTCACTGCAACTTTGGCATCTCGGGCTCATGTGATTCTCCCACCTCAGCCTCCTGAGTAGCTGAAACTACAGGAACCCGCCATCATGCCAGGCTAGCTTTCCTATTTTTAATAGAGATGGGGTTTCTCCATTTTGGCCAGGCTGGTCTCGAACTTATGGCCTCAAGTGATCCATTTGCCTCAGACTCCCAAAGTGCTGGGGTTACAGGCATAAGCCACTGCACCTGGCCTAGTGTCCTTTTTTTAAAGGCTACTGGGTAGAGAGGACAACTATGTAAAATTATTTTGTATAGCTCCAAGAACAATGTTCTACATGGTAATTCAAATCCAAATTCCTCATCTTGCCGTTCAATGACCATTACCTGATTTCCCCCTTAGCCTGTTCCACCTTTTCTCCTCTCAGTTCCTTAATGCACAAACTCATTCTCTCACACATAGAGTGTTGCTCCTAGAATCACTAGTAATACGACCTACATTATTAAACTATAGCATGCCAACTACATTCAAGGGTTATATTTGTCTTACCTCCTCCATATGAAATCCTTCTAAGAACTCTGGCCCATATTGTTCTCTCCTCTTTCACACCTCCCATGTTCAGGAAATGAATGAATAGGCCTGTGACTGAATATGGCTCACTGTCTTCACTTGGCATTCCTCATCATGTGGTTCTCTAATTGTTTTATTTTTTATTTTTTGAGATGAGTCTTGCCCTGTCACCCAGGCTAGAGCACAGTGGCGTGATCTTAGCTCACTGCAATCTCCACCTCCTGAGTTGAAGCAATTCTCCTGCCTCAGCCACCCGACTAGCTGGAATTATAAGCGCCCAGCACCATGCCCAGCTAATTTTTGTATTTTTAGGAGATGAGGTTTCACCATGTTGGCCAGGCTGGTCTCAAACTCCTAACCTAAAGTGATCCACTTGCCTTGGCCTCCCAAAGTGCTGGAATTACAGGCATGAGCCACTGTGCCAGGCCACCGTGCCAGGCCTGTTCTCTAATTGTTTTAAATATGAAATTCTTGCCTCCTTTAAAGCAAGAATCATGCAATACACTGCCTAATTTGAATCATCCATAGGACAATGCTGATAATAATGACAACTAACATTTATTGAACAACTACTTTGGTTTTTTTCTTTTTGGAGATGGGGGTCTCAATATGTTGCCCAGACTGGCCTAACTGCTGGACTCAAAGGACCCTCCCATTGCAGCCTTCCAAGTTGCTGGGACTATAGGCACACATCAGCATACCACGTCAACATTTGTCAGGAAAACAGGTGCCTTATATGCATGTAATCCTAATACAAAAGTAGGCATTGCACACATTAGGAAATTAAGGTTTACAAAACCTATTTATCATCAAATGACTTGAATTGAAAGCTAAATCAAAGATAGCTATAAAACACATAGCTATTAAGAGTCTAAGTGCTTGCTTGAGCAGCACATTAACTAAAATTGGAACAATATAGAGATTAGCATGGACCTGTGCAAGAATGACCTGTGCAAATTAATGAGGTGTTCCATAATTTTAAAATAAAAATAAAATGTAAAGAATATGAACAAATTTCACATGCATTAAGTTATTTATATACATATACAAATGCTATGACATGACCCAGTCATGTAAAGATTTAGCTAAAGTTCTCAACTGTACCCACGCTCCAAATCCTCATAAGTACTATAATATATTAATACTAATTTTACAGTAACACTAACTAAACCTTTCACGATCCTACCATATTACTAACTCATTTCTCCTGAACTTCACAGAAAGGAGATTTAAATGTTAACTTCACTCGGACTACACTGCTGTAAGTAAAGTACACACCCAACAGGAGACAAGACAAAGCCTGTACTCCTCTCACAATGAAGTCAAATAACTTGCAAGAGCCAACAGGTTTGCATTTCCTGAGCTAAATTCACATTGTTTTTACAAAACAAAAAGTACTCCCTTTTCTTGCCGAGAGGCAGTAAAGAGAGGCAGTAAAGAAAGACGGGCAAACATAAACCTCTATCAGGAAGGAACTCAAAAGCTTTCTGACCTCACTGCTACTCAGCGGTTTTGGTGCAATCCAGCCCACTTCTCAGGAAGGAGATTTTCTTAGAACAAAAAATAGTAACTCACACCACAATCAACAATTAACAAGATTATTCAGTTAGTAAAAACATTAAGCTATCAAGTTTTTGTAACACACAATAACTGGCTTGATCCTACATTAACTAAGATAAAACTCTGATCAAATAAGGCAAAATATCTAATTACCAACCTTTAAAACTCCTAATTTAGCATTGTGATGAGAAGCTTTATGGGTTATTCCATTCCTTCAAACAGGGATGCTATTTTCATCATTCTGATGCACGTTTCCTGATCTGAATTGTCTAGTCTTAAAGACATTTCTAAATTTAAAACTAATAATAAACGTTCACTTATTTGAAAGAACTGGCAAGGTGTGCCTAATAAAATTCCTTCAAAACTAAAGATGAGGTTCCCAATCATAAAATAAAACTTAAGTACCCAAGAAAACCAAAAAAACAAAAAAAAAAAAAAAAAAAAAAAAAAAAAAAAAAAAAAAAAAAAAAAAAAAAAAAAAAAAAAAGAAAAGAAAAGAAAAACTGAAGAGTCAAAGAAAATGTATAGCATCAATGCCAAAAACTCTGGACAGCAGAAATGGCTGCTAACCTTTCAACATCCGTAAAACAAGGAGTGTTCCTCAAAAGCCCTGGGATTTTTTTCAGTTTTTCTTCCAGCAACAAGGCCATGCTGATGCGATTTATTCATGGAGTAGAAACCTAAAGTAACCATAATAATATGACTGGCTAAAAAAGACAAATAGCAGCTTTCTGTGGACACAGCTAAATTATATGAAATCGATCACTTGGTAATTTTTGTGAATGATGCACATGTCAGTACATGATGAAAATGCCTGTTTGAATTCATCAACTGGCTTAAAGTCTTTAAAAACCATTAAAAGAGTTTAAAATTTAGCCACTGTTATATCATGTAGAGGGGTTTTAAACTGGGACTTAAAAACAAGAAAGAAAGGAACTAACCATTATTTACTTTTTAAATTTTTTTCACCTCTTTCTTCACATGTACTGAGTAAAAAATTCCAATAGTACAAAAGGGTATAAAATGAAAAGGAAATCGTCTTCTTCCACCCTAGTTCTATTTCCCAAGGACTACTACCATTAGTAGTTTGTTATCTTTCCAAGAATTGTCTATGCACACGAATATACTGTTTCATGATATATAATGTCCTATACCTTGTTTTTTCCTTATTTTAGAATACATTAAGACAACATTTTTTCATTTCTTTGAATACATGTCCCAACTAAATATGAGAAATGAGGCTGAAAAGTATATTGAACACACCTCCAAAAATAAAGGAAAATACAATTTTAACAATATATTGGTAGGCTTAATTGAGAAACTAGGATAATATCAGAGAAAGATATGAGAAATCAAATTTACATGCTTATAGTTTTAGAAACATAGCAATGGTAAAATTTTAAATTATTACTAGGTGGGTCTTGGTATGTACTTTCTATTTTTAATAAATAACATCAGAGAGGTGATGTGGGATTGGATTACAAAAGGTTCTAAATGACAGGAAGAGTTTAGGTTTGATCTGATGAACAATGGATAAACACTGCAGGTTCCTCAGCAGGGAAGATATATGAAGGAGGAAAAAGGCATTTAAGTGGATTAATCTAGCCCACGTGAACAACTGGTTCAATGTGGGATGACACTAGGAAAAGAAAGCTTGAGTTATGGGGCTGAGTAAACCAATTGTGATGAGACAGGCAGGATGGTGCTAGGCAAAACATCAAAGTAGGACATACTCTGAACATCTCAAAGAATGAAGAGTGAAAGCTTTGTCAAACAAGAGAATATCATTGCCAATAACATAAAAGGAAACCAAACAATGCGATATACCACACTAACAGAATGAAGGAGAAAAAAAACAATGTTCATATTGATTGACGCAGAAAAACATGACAAAATCCAACACACATTCATAATAAAAACAATCAGAAAACTAGGAGTAAAGGGAATTTCCTCAACACGATAAAGGGCCTTTATTAAAAAAAAACAAGAGGGAACATCATATTCAATGGTGAAAGCCTGGAACCTTTACCGCTAAAATCAGGAACAAGACAAAGATGCCTACTTTCACCACTGCTGTTCAACACTGTACTGGAATTTAAGCCAGAGCAATAAGGCAAGAATAAAAAATAATTACATCTAAATTACAAAGGATAAAAAGTAAAACTGTATTCACAAATGACATGATCCTATACATACAAAATCCCAAAGAATCTGCAAAAAAGTTACCAGAGCTGGTAAACAAATTCAGCAGCTTCAAGGTAAAGATAAACAGGCAAAATTCAGTTGTGTTTCTATACAACAGCAGTAACAATTCAAAAAGGAAATTAAGACAATTACATTTATAATAGCATCGTAAACAATAAAATACTTAGGAATAAATTTAACTAAAGAGGAAAAAAACCTGGGCTGGGCACAGTGACTCACAACTGTAATCCCAGCACTCTGGGCAGCTGAGGCGGGCAGATCACAAGGTCAGAAGTTCGAGACCAGCCTAGCCAACATGGTGAAACCCCATCTCTACAAAAAATACAAAAATTAGCCAAGCATGGTGGCAGGTGCCTGTAATCCCAGCTAATGGGGAGGCTAAGACAGGAGAATTGCTTGAACCAGGGAGGGGGAGGTTGTAGTGAGATTGTACCACTGCACTCTAGCCTGGGCGACAGAGCAAGTCTCCATTTCAAAAAAAAAAAAAGTCTGTACACTGAAAACTATAAAACATTGCTGAGGCTGAGCATGCTGGCTCATACCTGTAATCCCAGTACTTTGGGAGGCTGAGGCAGGGGGGATCACTTGAGCTGAAGCGTCAGACCAGCCTGGGCAACATGGTGAAACACGGTCTCTACAAAAAATACAAAAATTAGTCAGGCGTGGTGGCCTGTGCCTGTAAGTCCCAGCTTCTCAGAAGGCCGAAGTGGGAAGATGGCTTGAGCCCAGAAGATGGAGGGTACAGTGAGCCAAGATTACGCCATTGCACTCCAGCCTGGTGACAGAGCAAGACCCTGTCTCAAAAAAAAAAAAAAAAATTGTTGGACCTGGCGGCTCACTCCTCTAATTCCAGCTCTTTAGGAAGCTGAGGTGGGTGGATCACCCGCGGTCAGGAGGTTGAGACCAGCCTGGCCAACATGGTAAAACCCCATTTCTACTAAAAATGCAAAAAATTAGCCAGGCATGATGGCACACACCTGTAGTCTGAGCTACTCGGGAGACTGAGGCAGGAGAATCGCTTGAACCCAGCAGATGGAGATTGCAATGAGCTGAGATCGCATCACTGCACTAAAGACTGGGCAACAGAGTGAGACTCCGTCTCAAGAAAAAAAAAATTTCAAAAAAAATTGGTGAAAGAAGTTAAGGACCTAAATAAATTAAGAACATCCACGTTCATGAACTGTACTAGTCAGAGTTCCCCAGAGAAATAGAAGTGAAAGGAGATAAACATAGGAGATGAGATTTATTATAAGGAATTGGCTCACATGACTGCAGAGACTGAGAAATCTCAAGATCTGCAGTTAGCAAGCTGGAGAGCCAGGAGACCAGCAGTGCAATTTCAGTGTAAGGCTGAGGCCCAAGAACCAGGAGAGTTGAGTGTGTAAGTTCCAGTCTGAGTCTGAAGTCCTGCGAACCAAGAGAGCTAATGGTCATCTAAGTTCCAGTGCCAGGACAGAGAAGATCAATATCCCAGGTCAAGCGGTCAGGCAAGCAAAGTTTTTTTTTGTTTGTTTGTTTTTTGAGACAGGGTCTCACTCTGTTGCCCAGGCTGGAGTGCAGTGGTGTGATCTTGGCTCACTGCAACCTTCACCTCTTGGGTTCAAGCGACTATCCTGTCTCAGCCTCCCAAGTACCTGGGATTACAGGCACCCCCCACCACGCCTTGCTAATTTTTGTGTTTTCAGTAGAGACGGGGTTTCACCACATTGGCCAGGCTGGTTTCCTGACCTCAGGTGATCTGTTTGCCTCGGCCTCCTAAAGTGCTAGGATTACAGAGGTGAGCCACTGTGTCGAGCCCCATAAAGTTTCCTCTTCTTCAGCTTCTTTGTTCCATTCAAGTCTTCAATTGATTGAATGAGGCCCACTACCCACACATCAGGAAATTCAAACTGCTCTACACAGTCTGATTCAATGTTAATCTCATCCAGAATCACCCTCACAGACACACCTAGAACAATGTTTGACCAAATGTCTGCATACCTTATAGCCTAATCAACTGACATATTTTAACCATCACAAAGACAGTATTTTTTTTTTTTTGAGATGGGGTCTCTCTTTGTTGCCCAGGATGGAGTGCACTGCAACCTCCAACCCCTGAGCTCAAGCAATCCTCCCACCTCAGCCTCCCAAGTATCTGGGAACACAGATGTGTGCCACCACACTCAACTAAGATTTTTTTTGTATTTTTGGTAACGGTAGGGTTTTACCATGTTGC